TCTTAAACTATTGCATTAAAATCAAGTGCTGCTTGAAACTTCTTAAAATTGATGTGTTAATTGCTAAAATTTATGCTTGTGAATCAGTTCTTTACTATGTAGAGGACTGAGCACTAGTGTCTTTTGGACCAAGTACCCACAGTTGTACATTGGTATTGGTCTGTTTAGGAGTCTTCAACTTAACTGCCTTAAAGCTAAACCTGCTGCCTTTAAACTTGAATACCTCTCTCCTCAAATTGTAGCTATAAACTGTGACTACATGGTCTGCTAGTATTATACCTGATTTAATTGTGAATGCAAATAAAATTTGTTAAGGCAACCAAGTATTAACTAGGAAAATGTAAACTGATTTCAGGTTTGTTTTTGATAATATCTGCTTGTCAAATCTAGCTTACAATTTGGAAGTGAAGTACATCAGATTTATGTGAGCTTTGTGTTTGAGTTTTTATGGGATAATTGTTTTCTTCACATTAGGTAGATAATACTCAAAATGTTTATTTTCATCTTGGGGATGCTGGGCAAGTTTCTTAACCTTTCTAGGCTTTTAATGATAACTACCTGATGAGTTTGTTGTAAAGTCAAGTTTGTGTGAATACTTTAATGCTTAGCCTAGTATAACAGCAAATAGAAAATGGTAACTATTATTTTACATATAATGTAATTTACTATAATTCTGAATTTTGTTACTGAGTTTTGTAGCACCATTTAAATGGCAAAAGTAATGAGACACTAAATCTTGTGAAAGTAACCCGGATTGTAGGAAATGAAGAGTCAACAGCTTTGCAAATCTATTGTGGAAAACCTAAAAACAGGTAGAAGAGTATAATGAACTAGCTGTATATTTCTCAACTAGATTTAACACCAGGGCCAATCAGGCCTCATCCTCCTCGTGATTTCAAAACAAGTGTCAGATTATATCATTCATAAATATTTTGATACTTACCTCAAGTGGTAAAGTTTCATTTAAAAAAAAAAATACAGTATCTCACAGTGGTCCTTAATCATCATGTTAATGTTCCACTTCTTAAAGACTTACTTTTAATAGTAACATGGGGATGCACACATGAATATAGGAATGGCTGCTTTGAAGATTATGAAAGATTTGTCTTCAAGAACAAATATACTAAGTTTGGTGATACAATTGCTTGAAGAGTAAGATGAGAAAGTGGAGGTAAGGTTTTGAGAGGAAGGTCTGTGTTGCATAGCCCAAGTACTCAGTGTTTTCTTGTGCACATAAACATTGAGAGAAAAATGGAGTTGAGTTGGTGGAATTGCGAATAGTGACTAATAAGTGTAGAGATTTTGAGATTTGATCAGCATAATAGGAAAGATAACTGGATGAGGAAGAGAGAAACAGCTAGAAATGTTCAGTTTTAATAGAAATGATTAAGCATGAGAAGACAGGTGAAAACCTAAGGTGGAACAAAGATGAGGACCACAGCAGTGATGAGCAGAAAGGGATCGGTGGACCATGGTGTGTTTAGTGCTGCTGCGCTCTCACCTGGCTGACTAGTGGCCAGAAATGAGTAAAATCAGGAGTTGATTTTATGAATTTGTTGCACTGCAGCCACGCTGAGAATCAAGTGTGAACTGGCAAATTGTGGTTCTCATCTAGTGAGCCCTATGTTCCTTTTTTCTTAAAGAGCACCTGTGTGGAGGTGTAGCAGAGCATCCAGATGCTTTTGAATAGCCTAATATTGAGAGGGGGCCGCTGCTTTGACCTGACAAGAGGTCTGTAGTGGGTGTTGGGATATGATCCTTTTAGTACAGGGTGGAGAACATACAATTACTGCTCTTTCTCCATTGCTGGGGGACCATTGAGTAATAAGCATGTGATTGAATTGCTTTCATTTTCAAAGCACTTTGACTTGTTTTTCCTATCTTTATAGAAATCTGTTGAGACAAGTTTTCATTTAGCAAATGAACAAACCAGTCTCAAAATTGCATAAATGACACAAGGGTCACACAACAGGTGTCTTCAATCCAGAGTTTCCTAAATCTTTTAGATCTGGTTTTCTTTCTGCCACACACAGCACGTGATGAATCCAAAGAGGACTGAGTGGAAGTCTTTTGAATGAATTGAGACTTCAGTGAATCATAAATTCACATGCAGTTTTTATCTTTTTTTATTTTAAATGTAGTAAAATACAACAGAACAAGACAGAACAAAGCCAATTGAGACAGTGTAGTGAAAATGGTACAGAACACAACAGGTTACTGGGAAAACAGTAATAGGTATCACAATATATCTCATTATCTTCACAATAGTTCTTTCACTATAGCAAAATAAAATGAAATATAGAACTTACCAGAACTATTGAATAGAGCAGTACCATTAATCAGAGTAAAGTAAAACAGTAAAAGTATTTGCCTTCAAAGAGATGGTAGAAGGAATTTATTTGCTATATTGCATATGGTAAACCTCTGAAGAGATGCTCAGATCTCTGGCTCCCATTTGCTAATGGGAAGGGGAAGTGGATGTTTGACTTTCAGCCCGTGCATGCAGTTGTTTTATTCAGCATAAAATTTAAATGTGCTCAAAATGTTTAATAGGCCTAACTTGTAAAAGACTATTAAAGAGTTTAGAATTAAATAGATTTTCTTAACATCTAATTGGCTCCCAAGTGATTAGGTCTGTAGTAACATTCAAGGAGGATGGAGGTTTCTTTGATTTTTCAGAGTAACCTGTATTATTCTGTGGAAGTTATTAAATTTATTTGCATTCAATTTTTAAACTTCTAAATATTTTCTAGGATGTAGTTGGCATTTTAAGTAAAATTTTACTTTATCAAATTTCAAGTAAACCCATAAAACTACTTTTATAAGGAGAAAAAAATTCAAGTGGGGGGACCTACTTTGTTAGTCAAGTGAAATTAAAACGTAATTGTGCTTAATGTACAAAATCAGGTTATAATTTGTTCATGGTTGTCGGTCTACAAAATTGCAAACATCTGTGTGTGAACCTTTTTGCTAGGAAAAATCTAAAGTCTTGTTTAATGTGAATTATCATGTATTAGTAATAAAGAATGCTAGTTTCAGGATATGTAGTGTGATGTACAAAGCCTATGCCACTTAAAAACTGCTCAGACCATGGGGTCTCAAGCATACTATGAAAGTAAAAGTGTCATTGCTTAAAAGAAAGAGACTATAAATATTTGCCTTTAAGCATAGTGATGCAGATTCACTGGAATATAACCCTATAACAGTAGACTGTTCCTACTGAATCTGTTCACTTCCCAGAAGAGTACCTGAAAAAAGTAAACTGTACCAGTGTCGTGAAATAAATCCTTATCACGTAAATGACGCCAATTGCTTTTATGGTGCATAAAAGAAAGGAGTTAGAATTAAAATCCTCCAAAGTGTTAAAGGTGTTAACTAGCAGATAATTTCTACTTGTCTGTATATTCCTCCCATCCTCTCTGTTACTCAGTTTTGCACTAAAGTGTATGTACGTGTGTGTGTGTGTGTGTATATATATATCCTCTGCTCATGTTCTTACCTTTGTGTCATAAGGTTGTACATAGTAGCTGTGTTGTGTTTTCACTAAACAGATTAACGAGCTTCTCTGCACTAAGCATTTGTGCAGGACGCTGAAGAAAGAATCGCCTGAATGGCTCTTGGGGCTCACAGATACGCTTTGAAAGATAGGTAGCTTTTTTACTAAGGTTATCCTTTACCAAGGGGAAAATAAAGTTGGTGTGTGTTTGCATGTGTTTGACTTTTAAATGCAAAGCATTGAACTCCCTTTTGCACAGTTACATAACTATGTGAGGCTCACCTTTATGTAAACCTCGGCTCACAGCCATGTGCTTGGATACCTGCGAAGGATGCCTGAGATGTAATCTTAATGTCTGAGCATATTTCCTGGAAAATACATCTGTTCCCAGCAAAGACATTTATAAATCCTGGGGCACAAAACTAAGACTGAAAGAAATATTTACCAGCACCAAAGGAAATGTCTAAATTCCCACCAGAACACACCAAAGGACCTACTATACTTTGTTCCAGAGCTGTCGATGTCCGCTCCCGGCCGGCAGGAAGGACACACGACACAGTCTGGTAGTGGACAACCTTTTCTTTTTATTTTCCTTCTCCGTACAGCCTGCCCTGGGTTCTCCCAGCTGAAGCCTCCTCTGGTCCGCTCCCCGCGGCTCCTTTTGTGCTTCAGTCTGCCCCAAAGCCTCTACCGGTCCGCTCTCCGCGGCTCCTTCTGGGCTTTTACTTCTGGGCTTCTATCTGGCTTCTACTTCCGCCCAGGGGTGGCACCGGTATATATACGGGTACAGTGTCCAATCATGTTAAAGTAAGCAAGGCAAGCTGATTGGCTAACATCATCAGTTGCCAGGCAGACTATATTGTTGAGCGGGTTGTTTACGCGGTAAGCAGGAAACTAACATATTCGATGGGAGGGGTAATCTACCTCAGGCCTCACTCTTTACTACAGGCCTCACGTCCGCCAAGTGAGGCGACCGGGCTCGGGGCTGCGGCTCCCAACATCTCCCCCTTTTTTATTTTTTATGAATGTGCGCATCGTAGCCCTTCCTGGACTGGGTGCAGAGGCTTATGCCCTATGCGTAGGCCCACCGTAGGTCCTTGGCTTAGACCCTGGTCGGCCGTCCCATGGTCTGCCAAGGCCCTGAGGCCCTCGTCCTTTTTCTAGGGCCAGGCACAAACTGGACGGAACCTGGATGCACACAAGCTTGCACTCATTCTCTCTCCGTAAAGAAATCCCCTCGGAGAGAAATTTAGACCTGGGCAGCATCTAACAGTCCAGCGGCTTACGTGCAGGATGGGGTAGGGCCTGGCTTAGGTCGAGTCGTGCTGGGGAGGCACGCTCTTACCCGTCATTGACTCACCTACCCTGCTGTGTATTGTCACCTTATGGAGGAGAATGAGGGATGCCCGCCATATCTAGACTCGGTCGTGGGCCAATTGTGCAAGCCATGCATATGCCTGAGGATCTTCTTGTCCATTTCGGGCTACTGCTATTTCTATTCATCTTGTTGGTTGGTCTGTGATGGATCTCCAGTAGGGCAGGTCTGATCTTCAGTCGAGGGCTTTGTTGCCCGTGTCAGTCTCTCCGGTATCCACAGTGGTTCTCGTCCCGGTTCCTGTGGGAAAACACAAACCGCGCCTCGGTTCCAGCTGACCACTGGATCCGGGCCCATCCATTGTCATGCCATAGATAACCGCGCCTTTGGAGGCAGGCCTTGGCTTACTCCCCCTTTTTGTTTTTTATTTTTTATTTTTTATTTTTATCTTTTTCGTTTTTTTTTTTTTTTTTTTTTTTTGGTACCAGGGATCGAACTGGCGATTGCCTGCTTACAAGGCAGGCGCTTATGCCGCTAAGCTAAATCCCCAGCTCCCATTTCCTCGACCGGCGTTTCTCTCAGCCTGCTCGGCAGAGAACTCTGTGTACCAGGCTCGCCAATCCAGGTAACTACCCGAGGGCAGACACGCCTTTGCCAGCTGAATCCAGTCCGCGGGGGTGAGGGGCCCAGAAGACAGGTTCTCCAGCATGGCAATGGTGTAAGGCGCAGTCGGCCCAAAGGTTGTAACTGCATTTTTAAGTTCTCTAATCTGCTTTATCTCAAAAGGCTCCCATACATTGCGTCCCTGGCCCATAGCTACTTGTACAGGAAATATCCCGTAGGGGCCACTATCTATCCCAGGTGGATGTACCTCATGAGACAAGCGTCCCCCCTGCCAAAGCCGCCTGTAAAAATACCGACCCGCCGGCGGCGGAGCATAAGACAGCGGCCGTGATTGGGCGGAAAATGGGGGCCCGTGCATCACTTCCTGTTCTGGCGAAAGGGGAGGGAGCTCCCAGGCGGCCGCCTCGTGGCGAGGGATTGCCTCCCTCTCGCGCCGGGGAGCGCTCAGGAGCTCTCTACTCCTCCGCAGACCAGGTTGAGCAGAGCGCAATTCGCGGGGCAACGCTGGAAAAGAACCCTGCGACTCCTTATTGAGCGACTTAGGCTCCTGACAGCTGGTCTCTTTGGCCTCCTTGCCATTCAACTTTCCCTCGTCCTCGGAGTCAGACGACTCCGAGGCTAGAGCCCCGTCCTCCTCCTTAGCATCCTTGTTCCCCTTGACAGACACCTCTCGGGAGCTCCCTGACTGGGCCTGCTCAGATACCCTGCGTACTTTTGTAAGCTCTTGAGAGCTTTCTCCACAACCACCCTCGCTCTTAGTGTTGCTACCTAACATGTTTCCCATCTTTTAATATGTTACTCACCGCGTGAGGCCCAAGGAATCCGCCACTTACGCGTGAGCCTGAGGGGAGTCTAAAAGCCCTGTAGGTGCGCGCCACCCAGAGCCCAGGCTTATCCCCAACTCACCTGTCTCGCAGCTCTGTACTGGAGCGTTGTCCACTTCCACGTCTCGGGGGTGATCAGTCCCCGGGCGGGCCTCCAAATGTCGATGTCCGCTCCCGGCCGGCAGGAAGGACACACGACACAGTCTGGTAGTGGACAACCTTTTCTTTTTATTTTCCTTCTCCGTACAGCCTGCCCTGGGTTCTCCCAGCTGAAGCCTCCTCTGGTCCGCTCCCCGCGGCTCCTTTTGTGCTTCAGTCTGCCCCAAAGCCTCTACCGGTCCGCTCTCCGCGGCTCCTTCTGGGCTTTTACTTCTGGGCTTCTATCTGGCTTCTACTTCCGCCCAGGGGTGGCACCGGTATATATACGGGTACAGTGTCCAATCATGTTAAAGTAAGCAAGGCAAGCTGATTGGCTAACATCATCAGTTGCCAGGCAGACTATATTGTTGAGCGGGTTGTTTACGCGGTAAGCAGGAAACTAACATATTCGATGGGAGGGGTAATCTACCTCAGGCCTCACTCTTTACTACAGGCCTCACGTCCGCCAAGTGAGGCGACCGGGCTCGGGGCTGCGGCTCCCAACACAGAGCAATGTTCCAGACATTGCTCTTGACATCATAGGAGAAAATACATACCCTTTTTCTGGAGCTGTCAGTCTGTTGGTCCAAGGTAGTGAAAGAAATACTAAATCGAAGGCCAGTGGGGTTCTGCAAGTTAGCTATTTGTGGAGCTGTCAATCTCTAAAATCTAATGAGAAGCTTGGAAACACACAAGTATTCAGATGTATGGTAAGTCTGGGAAAATTTGAAAGAATATTAGGACTCAGAGCTTCCTAGAAAGCAGTTTAAAACTGAGCAGTAAATTAATGCAAACATGACTGTCTCTTCAACCTAATTTTCATATAACATTTTGTAGCATCCCTTTAAAATTCTAGAAGGCATTAGGGTTCTATGTGTGTGTGTACGTTTGTGTGTGTGTGTGTGTGTTAGGGGAAGTACCTTGCACAGCACAGTGAAGGACTGAAGTAGACCAGTTCTGTTTCAGGAACACAGGCCCAATCCTGCCAGTTGGCAGGTAGTCTTCCACCAGTAGCTCCTTCGCTAAGGGAAGCTGACTTATAAAGTGCCCCTTCTCAGGACAGCCTGGATGCAAGGCCTGGTTGACATAAAGGGTCACCCCGTTGCCAGAACACTCATGTCTCAGCCCTACTTCCCAAGAGTAAAGGTCCAGTGTTCTGATCTCCATTTCTTGAGTCTGGTTCCACAGGAGCTCTATTTGGAACACAAGACATGCCTTGAAGAGTCAGAGGCAGACTTTCATAAATACCGCTGATGCTAGCCATCGTGTTTGTTTGGGGTATAGGAAGGCTTGTAACGGGAAAACCAAGTCAAGACTAAGGGGAGCACAATGAGAAGACTCAGCCCTATCAAAATTAGGACAAAATACTGGGGTCGGATTTGGGTTCAAACATCGAATTCGGTAAATCAGTTGAACACTTGAAACCTCAACTTTCTCACCTGAAAAATAGGAATTACAGAAGTTACTTCATATATTTGAGGTAATGGTTAAGTAGCAGTATCTGTGATAGGATAAACCGAATTTATTTTCCTCATCATCATCATTAATACAAGTGTATTCAGAGCTTGAACTACAAGAGGGCCAAAGTCGCAGCTTGTGGCATCAACCTATCCCCCTCATTGAGGTCTGATAATACAAAAGTGGGACCCAATAAGAGTACATGAGTCACGACTGCCACCTGGGCTGTGCTTGCATTTGACCCATCCCAGCTCCTTCAGGTCAAATGTTACCAAAGTCAGGCCCCCATGGTCTGATAACATTCTACACTGAGAAAAGTCTAAGTGGGAATGCAGTGCTGGGAGGAAGGTGGGGAGAATAGGTCTACAGAGCTGCTTTCAAGTTACATAGCTGTTAAGTTACATGGCCATCTTAGGCAATAGTGGAGGTATAGGTTCTGAAAGGCTTCAAAAGTAGGGCAAGCAGGTGATCTTAGAGTAACAGCCCAAGCTTTGCATTTTGAAGTCTGGTGGGCAGTGGGAGACATGACCTTTGAATTAGAAACCGAAACAGCCTCATGGAAAATCTCCCAGAAAAACAGGAAAGTCATATTGACAATTTTGTGTGCGAGCCAGAGGTGTGGGGGTCAGCTAATTTAAAGTGTTACCATGTGCTTCTCAGACTTTTCCAGGGGTGGGCTCATGATCTTCAAAAGAGAGGCAATTGGAGCTGTGTCAAGCTTGTCATGTCTCCATCTCCTGTATTAAGCATCCATCACTTAGGTGATTTTTGCATCCTCTTTATGTCATAATTTAAATTGTTTAACTTTTTTATGTTGCCTTTGAAATACTGTAAGGCTGGGGTTCCAGAAAGCTTTGCCGTTTATATCCCTTGTGTCTTTTAGCACACCTTGAATCTGTGGGGCACAAATACTCCAGTGTGACACTCACAGACATTTTGCATCTCCTTCCTTACATGATTCAGTTTAGTTCTGGGGTACTTATGTCCAAGACAGGGAAATAGGCCTGACAAAAAGACTGTCACCAGAGTGCCCATTTCTTTTTTGTTGTTGTTTTGGTCCTGGGGATCGAACTCACAACCTCACACTTGTCATACAGGTGCTTGTGATGCTGAGCTAAATCTCTGGCCTCGGTGCCCATTTCTTAGGCTTGGGGTATGAATGCTTGGTGGCCCATACCACTGCCATGTGGTGACCATGAACGATTCTTATTCCCTATGTGCTTGAGAAGGATGGAGAGCAGTAGAAAGTGGTAGCTATGCAGGGCATCTGGAAGCACACATGAGACACTCTTGAAACCTGCCCTTACTCTCCCAAGGAGTAATTTAGAAGAGTTTAGCGCTGTAGCCTGTGCAACTCTCAAAATTTCTCCGGTGAGGGCCATGAAGGGCGGTGAGATGGTGAAGAAATAAAGATGAGACACAAAAAACATCAGATGAAGCCTTCTCTCCAGATGGGAGGAAAAGGAACTGCGCAACCGTACAGCACATTTTCTTATATCTTCAGCAGGTTAACGTCATGTGACACCTCTTTGCCTAGCAACCTGTCTGCATGGCAGCCTAAGGGCGTGGTGTTCTCTGGACTGGAGCAGCTTGTTCACGTGGATCGCCTCCACGTGCTGTTCTTGGGACTGGCCTTGCACCAGTCCAGCACAAATACGTGATTTATCTCCAGTTTCAGGTGCTCCCCACAGTTTGGGGCTAGAGTTTACATTCTGTAAATAGGTGAATTGAAACCAACCTGTTTTCTGGCTACTCTTGTCCCTGCTTCCTTTGCACAACTTTATGACAAACACACAGCCCCCTGCACCTAGTGGGTTCTCCTACTTTGCTTCAGTGGAAAGCATTCAGGAACTTCTATTTGACATTCACACATTCAAATAAGTAAAAATGCTTGTTGAGTCATCAAAAATCCTAGTGTGTGACTGTTGTTAGAATCTACTCGTCCATCTGTAGGTGATGTAGCAACTAAGCACTGTGACCTATAATGACAGTCACATGGGCCACTGTAATGCCATGGTTTCTACCTGCTGTTTTGAGTGATTCTGAGAGTAGAAAATGTATCGTACAGAGATCTGACAGCTCCATCCCCTTCCCCGTACATCCTAGTCCTCATCATCCCTGACCTACGGCTGATGAGGGAGCCATCTAGACTTTATAAATGTGAGTTTTGGGGTTGGAGTGATTTCTAACACAATCCTTTGCCCCTAGTACTGTTCTGTCTAATCTAATATGGTAGGGATCTAGGTTTTAAAAATAGCTGCAGAAGAAAGGAGGAAAATACAATAACTCAATGTAAGCCCAAATTTAACCCAGATTATATACAAGTAAGTCTATGGCAACTTGCTACAATTACACATAAAAATACAAAAATTATTTTCTTTCAAAATTTTAGAATCAATTCTATGCCTATAATAAAGTCCTTTGAGCTTACTTTGTCCTGATACCTTTTTTCTATGCAAAAGAGAAATGAATGTAGTTCCAGTGGGTCCTCCAATAAATGTGTAAGAGAGTATGTTACATCATGATGATTATCCATCAAGTATTAAACCAGGGAAAATGCTTGAGGACTCCTGGGACTGAACTAGGAGTCGGAAATTATGTTCATTGCTATAAGCAAGTGTTTGCAGTGATGGCAAAATTTTTAGAACTTTCAATGATATGAACAGCCCGCTGCAGCACATGTACCATAAATTCACCACCATGGGTCTAGTGGAAATCACATGATACTGAGGTATGGTACAGCATTTCATATAGTGGTTAATTACATGAGCTTTGGCATCAGAAAACCTGGCTCAAACCACTAAGTTTTGTGATCCTGGAAAGTCTGATACTCAGAATATCAGTTTCCTTATCTTTAAAATGAGCATTGTCTTTACTTGTTCAGGAGATGGAAGTGATTAAATATAGCAATACAAGTAAAACTGGGAGAAACCCTGACCAGAGTATTTAATATCATATCATTTTTATTATTACTAGTGGAAAATATTGTACTTTTGTTTGTAAAATAAAAAATCAGACTTCCAGGAAAAATGGATGATCTAAACACTACACTTCATTTTTTTTAGTGCGTGTCTGCAGTACATAATGATTACACTCATTGTGTGCAGTTGGTGTATGTATATGATGCACCTTAATTTTTTTTTTACATCCCCTTTCCCTCCACTGTCTTACTTTTCCCTGTGCTGATTTCTAAGATACATGTTTGGGCAAGAAAATCATTCTGTGGGCATGAGATTGGCAGAGCCTTTGGCTGGCATGGTAACCTCATGCAATGCATGTAAGAACTGTGACAGGTAGGGCTGCATTTCTTATTGACAAGCTAGTTCTAAGGATACCCTAGCTGATATCCTTGTGTCATCTGTATTGAGTTACTAATGTTCCCTATGGGTTGCTCTTCTCCAGGCTAGACATTTACCACTCATTTATGGAAATTAAATCTTTTCTTTTGCATTTAATATGGTTTTCAGACTTACAGTTTCTTGATTAATGCAAATGGTTGGCAATACTTTTAAAATTATATTTCCAATTTATGAGGATGGGATATATGCTTTGAAAAAAGATTTTTTTTTTTGGAGACGGGATATCATTATGTAATCCAGGCTGGCCTCCAATTCACAGTGATCCTCCTGCCTCAGTAAAAACTTTTATTTTGAAGTAATTTAAAATTTGTGGAAATTTTACAAAACAAAACAAAAAAAGGAGGTACAGAGAACTGTATATCCTTCAACTAGGATTTCTGAATCGCTCACACTTTAGCACTTTTTGGCTTATTCTTTCTATATATATTCTTTTCTGAACCATTTAAGAATTATAAGCATTATGATACCCCTTAATACATCAATGGACATTTCCTAAAATAGGAATAACAATAGAAAATGAATGTTAAATGCCAATAAAATATAGTCAAGTGTCTCAGAGATGTCCTTGCTAGGTCCAGAATTCAACTTAAGGTCATTGGCTAACTTTGTCATTTCTTTTAAGTTCCTCTCAATCTGGAGAATTTCCCTAATTTTTATGACATTGACACTGTTTAGAATTCATCTGT